AGGACAGCAGATGAGAGAGATTTGTTCTGATCTCAGGCCAGGCAGGACACAGGAAATCTTTTGACCACAACTAAAGGAGCCATGAAGATGGGTCAGTGGTTAAGAGAACTTTCTGGCATGACAGGGTGTTTGGCCATCCGATCACCAGAGTAGGTCAGTTCGGGCTGTCTCTCGACCATTGCCAGCAGTCTATTGTGGAGGTATCTTTGTGGATTTCTGGGGACCTCTCTAGCACTTTGCTTCTTCCTATTTCCATGTGGTCTTCATTTACCATGGTCTCTTTTTCCTTGTTCTCCCTCTCTGTTCTTGATCCAGCTGGGATCTCCTGCTCCCTAAACTCTCTTTCCCTCAACCCTTGCCCTTCATTACCCCCCCTCACGTCCAGTTTGTTCATGTAGATCTCATCCATTTCAATGATTGATGGAAGTGGATTCAGAGATCCACGGCCAGGCCCCAGGTGGAGCTCCAAGAGCCCAAACAGCGAGAAAGAGGAGGGATTGTATGAGTGAGAATTGTTGAGTCCATGATTGGAAAAAGCACAGGGATCAAATAGCCAAACGAATGGAAACACATGAACTATGAACCAATAGCTGAGGAGCCCCCAACTGGATCAGGCCCTCTGGATAAGTGAGACTATTAATTAGCTTGAACTGTTTGGGAGGCCCCAGGCAGTGGGACTGGGACCTGTCCTTAGTGCATGAGCTGGCTGTTTGGAACCTGGGGCCTATGCAGGGACACTTTGCTCAGCCTGAGTGAAGGAAGGAGGGGACTGGACCTGCCTGGACTGAATCTACCAGGCTGAGCTGAATCCCCAGGGGAGTCCTTGTTCTGGAGGAGATAGGAATGGGGGGTCAACTGGGAAAAGGGTGGCAGGGTGGGTGGCGGGAGGAGGGAGGACAGGGGAAACCGTGGCTGATAGGTAAAATTAAATTATAAAATAAAAAAAAAATTTTAAAAAAGAGAGAACTTTCTGTTCTTGGAGTGGAAAGGATTTCAGTTTCCAGCACCATTGTGGGGTTGATGAGAACTTCCTCTTATTCCATTTGCAGAGGTTCCAAAGCCCTCTTCTGGCCTCTACAGGAACCTGCAAGCACATGGTGTGCATAACACAACAGGCATACACACATACATGTACATAAAATAACAAGGTAAATGTTTAAAATGAGAGGAAAAGTAATTTATTTTCTCCCAAAAGCAACTTGTATCTTACACTGACTTTTATTCTAGGAAAGTTTATATAATATTTAAAGTATTTGTTATTTAGAATAAAATATTTATGTATTTTGTTTACAATGTCAATGCATTGAAAAAAATTAAAGCCTTAGCAGATGTAATCATCTTAGAAAGACCTACGTCTGTAATGTTTTTATAAAATGCTCATTGTGTAAAAATGTTTCTAATGAGGTCAAGATTAAATCTTTTTATTTTATTATGTTTAGCTGTTCTGTATAGTCATAAAATGCATTTTTTCCCACTTAACAGATCTGTTGAAACAAGACAGTTACATTCCTGAAGCTACAGCTGTATCCCTGAATCTCTGCGATCTGTACTGAGAGAACCTAGACTATTAACCTGCAAATAAAGAATCAGCACTGTCCTCTATACACATCATCTGGTTCATGACAGACATTTTATAAACACACATTTGATGACAATAATGCTTCATTGAGGTGTTTTTTTTTCCTAGAGAAAATCTATGCACTGGGTATCACATTTGTTCTGGCATTTATTTTCATAAAGACCAATAAGTACTTCCAAATTCTACCTTTGGTATGAGAACAGCAAGCTCTGAGGCCTCTGGTCCTTTGGGGTTGTTTGGCTGACTCCAGGATTAGGATCTGAACCCTTCTCCTGGAAGGAATAGAACACCAGCTTCTTTCCTTTAGGTAGTTCCTTCCCATTCCACCCTCATCCTGTTTAATTTTGAAAAGAAAATCTAGCTTCTCCCTTACAAAATAGAAAGCCTGTCTTATCCCCAAATTGAAAGCTTGTTATGATTCTCTTCTTTGGCCTTAAATGGGTGGACTCATAGATGGAGAAGTTGAACGGAGGGCTCCAAGTATTTTTGGGAAAAAGGAAATGTATCCATACAGTTCTGCATGATAAAGCTCTGAAAATGGACCACAGTGATGGGTGTATGACACTGGAAATGTACTTTATTCTGCTAGCATAACCACTTCAAGTATAAAATGGGAATATTTATGCTGTGCATATTTTGTCGCAATAAAGGGAAAACAAACAAAATAAAAAGAAAAGTTTTCTTTCAGAGCCACTAGATCTGTCATAACGTCATTAAATGCCCATGGCCATAATCCTGGTTCCATCACATTTTAATCTCTAGCTGGCAACCGTAAAGATGTACGACTACAGAGAGTGGAATTAAAAACAAAATGAATCTCCACATTTCCCACGCTCTCTCAGAAGCTTTCACTATGTGGCACATAACAACCTTATCTTCCAGAGGGTAGACAAATCACCTACTTGGAGAATGTTTTGATAGCAGAAACTTCTATGGTTTTTGGCCTGTGGGAAGAATTAAGCACTCTCTTTCTAGTTGGGTTTTGTATTATCTTAGACCATTAGTGATGCTGGAGAAGTGATTGAAACTGGCCTCCAGGAGGAAAGATGTTTCATGAGAAGCCAATCTTTTGATGAAGGAAGTGCCAGAGAGATTTAGAACTGAAGCGCCACGCCAAATGTGATCACGCTCCAAGTTTCTTTTGTTGTCCCCAGAGGCTCCTAATTATAAAGGAAGCCTGCGTGTTGGTGATTTAGTGACTTTAAAAATATGATTAAGTTCATGCAGTTTTCTAAAAGGAGGGCACATAAATTATTTCCAAGAGGTATTATTTGCTCAGGTGATTTTAAAAGATTAATTCAAGATACAGAATTGTCTCCAAACTAAAAATTCTCACCAAATTCAAATCAGGAGTTGTTTCATGTTGCTGTGTTAATATCCATCTGCATTAAAATTTCATCTCGTAAATTATTAAAGCAATACCTTCCATAGAGAAAACGACAGGACAGGTCGATTCTACAGGATAGTTCTTAACAGGCTGCTAAATGAAGTCATTATTTTGCAGGACTGAGTTTAGAATAAAACTTTTCATTCATTTGCCTTCTTAAACTCTACAAGGCTGCTTTGGTGGCAGAGCATTTACTTTTCCTAGGCTACAGTGCAAACTTAAAGGAGACTATTTACAGACCCAATAGGTGCCCAGAATTAAACACACACTGCAGACATGACCTGCAGCCATATGCTCCAAAGTCAACAGGATGTTAGCTTTCAGGGGCAGGAATGAAAGAAAGGCCAGAAGGAGACAGAAATTTCTTAAATCCTAGGTCCACTCCAAAATCAGTTACTTGACATGAACTTGAGACTCCTCAACTCCGATAGACTTGTGTAGTCTATCCTTTTTACAGCCTTGACTCATTTTTATCCATACATGAGAGTGCTCATCTCATTCATGGAGAAGCTGTGTACAGTTACGTAGTGGATCAAACATCAGCAACCTGGCCCCAGAGTCTATGTCTTCACCCCCTACCTGTCGCTAACTCTCTATGGCATAATGAGAAGAAGAAATATTTGTTCAAGGGCAATCCAAACACAGTACTTTTGTTGATTTCCATAATTAAGTATTATCACTAAAAAGAATTCAGTGACCAGTGTGAACACTGAACCAAGGGCCTTGCTCATGCTAGGCAGCTACTCTGCCCCTGAGTAGTGTCCCCAGGCCAGGTTTTAAAGACTGTTCTATTGCATCTTTTCTAGGATTAGCCTCAAGTTTAGTCTTTACATGGGACATTTGTCTTTGTTGAACACTACCAAAGGAGGAGGTCTTTGGAGGCACACCTTGTTTCCAGAGTAAAAATCAGTTCATCTTTGAACAGGTATGACGAGGACCCAGGATATTATCTTCCAGGTCATACCTGGCTTTCACCTCTTTCCCTTAAAGTTTATAGTCATTTCTAATACTTGTAGGCCCAACAGCAGTTTCATCTGTGACATGTCAGCGTTTACAACACTTTGTAAGAGATACCTTCATTCAGAATGAAGTCTTTCCCATTGATGAATTCAGTAGAAGGATGACGATACTATGTAAATCCTTTCTTCATGCTGTGTATTTCAAGCTGAATTATCACTTCACTGTAACATCAGCATCACTCTTGAGACTACACACTGTTTTGTTGTTCTAAGAATGGAACCCATATAGGATGGTTAATGTCTTAAGATTTTCACAAGTGTCAAGAGCTTTAGCAAGCTCACTCATTCTTTTTTGTGTTATCATTGTTCTCCACTCTGTGTTCTCATTCAAGGTAATGCATGCTAAGTAGTCACTCTTCTGCAGCTACCAATATGGCACAAGCAGTGGAACTGACACACACACAGGAATATATGGATTACTTACACATTAGTTCTTCACTTTTAAAACTGATCAACATGAGCTTTGATTGGGATAATTATTTTATAGAACACACCACAAGGCCTATCATAACTGGCAACCCAAACATTTATCTTTACTATACCATATCAGCTTCTGGAGCAGCAGCCCCATGTCTGGCAAGTTTATCGTGTTGCCAAGATATTATTGTCAAGACTAAAGCAAGAGCCTGCAATTATTGTCCAAATTCGACTGTTGTTTTCCTACCCTGGACACACTGGGTGGATATGACCTGATGAGATAATGTTTTTCTCGTGTTATTATGTCCTTTCAGTGTCGTTGATAAAAATCTAGCTTCTAGACAGTAGCTGGAACATGTTCATCACTAACTGACTATTTGCTGAAGAAATGAATGAATACTTGGACACGTGCCTCATGAGAGACTTTCAAAGTCCTTCTGTCCTTTGGCTCTCCCCTGTCTTACTTCTGTAACACTGTGAAGCATTGAACACTCATGGCAACTCTTGAACAGTCAAGGGAGGATGAAAGAGCCCCAGCTTGTTAAAGAAAACATCTATTAAACTTCCATTCCATTACACGTTATCTTCTGCCTTTTTTTTTTTTTTTGCATTCAAGGTTTTATTGGTGCTGCTCTGCCTGCCTCAATTAAGCCATCGCCTTCCTTTCATGCCAAATGCATTTTTTTTAATTTCTCATGATTCCGCTCATATTTTACCTTGTTCTTCACAAACAGTTATCTAACCACTCAAGTGTAAAATGACCTCCACCTTATTCCTCCTCTGGCTTACTAAGACATTTTTTTGTTAACTATATCATATTTTATTTTGGCCAGGAATTGTGCTTTATATGTAGGTTTTCTGCCATGATGTTGCTAAGACGCACTTATATAAATAACCCGTTGCCTCTTATTTCTTTATGATATATAAATCCTTTGATGCCATGGCCTTTGAGTTGTTCTTTGTATTTTTTGTGCCTTTCCCATACCTAAAACTGATTATTTCTTTTATAGTCGTTCCTTAATTGATATTTGCTTATTGATTTATGGACAGGTTACTAGACATCTCTTTCCTTAGAGCCTTGCCTAGGTACCTCCAGCTATTCAATAAACATTGATTGATTGGCCCAGGACATACTGACTTATTAGTAGTACAGAAAGAAAACTAAATATTTTGACAGAAATTGAGAATTAAAAAAAAAAAAGGTGTTCTTAAACACTGAAGAGTCATACAGTTAAGTGATAGAATATGGCCTTTCAGAGAAAGGCTGTATCTTTGTGTCTTCCTTATGCACTGTTTACATCAGCCCAGGCTACTCTGCGTCATGGCTCAGAGTACAGAATCTTAACCTGGAGCCTATGAAGGTTTATAAAGTCCATAAATGCATCTTAGCATCTTCAAAAGCAAGTAAAACTAAGATATAAAGAAAGCTGTGTCTAGAGGCTGTAATGGTGCATACCTTTAATCACTGTATTCAGGAGGCAGAGGCAGGCAGATCTCTGTTAGTTTGAGGCCAGCCTGGTCTACAGAATGACTTGCAGGGCAGCCAGGGGTACACAGAAAAACCCAGTCTCAAAAAAAAAAGAAGAAAAAAAAACCTCCAAAACCCCAAAACAAACAAAATAGAAAGCTGTGTCATTAATAATACAAAGTGAAATATTAGAACCAGGCTTATATAACTCAAATGCTAAGGAAGAAATTTGTTCAATTGTAACATGATGTCAGTGCTTTGAAAATTGTTAGAGCTGGGAGTGGCTGGGCTACAGAGGGGATGCAGTTCTTATTTTTGAACTTGAATGTCCAAAGCAAGGCTTAGGAAACAATGTCCACAAGGGCCACAGTAACAGAGCAAAGAACAAGTTTGTGTGTGTGTGTGTGTGTGTGTGTGTGTGTGTGTTTGTGTGTGTGTGTGTGTGTGTGTGTGTGTGTGTGTGTGTGTGTGTGTTATTGGGGAAGGTCAGATAGAGTTCTTAATGTCTTACCCATTAGCCTTCTTTAAAGCTCAGCATTAGCTCACACAGGAAGCAGCACAATGGCTGCCTGCATTTTAAATGTTGAATGCCTGTGGGACGGAAAAGTTTTGCTAACTCATATGAGCTACAAGTGTAATGAACACAGTGGCGATCGGTTGGGGACACTGAGGCAGAAGAGAGCCGAAGGGAAAATTCTCTACACACAAACTTTTCCTGAAACTTTTCTCAAGCTTCACTAGGTCTAATCCTACCTATTTTCCTTTGCTGGGGAAGAAATTTGTCTATGTCGCTAAGGTGTAGAGTGATGCAAAGTCTGCACGTCTTGATTTCATGTTAGATAATCAGTCTAGAAGTAAGACAGTCTCATCAGTTTCTGAAGATAGTTACCCACTTCCAAGACCTCTTAGAAAGCAAGTGTGTCAGGAGGGCCTTCTGGGCTTCAGTGCTCTTCAGATGTGTAATATTCAGGGTGTAACTTAACCCACTTGTGTGTGCTTTTGGTGAGAAAGAGTGACTAACTTTAAAATGGACCTTGAGAGCATGTAGATCGCAGTTGTGCTAGCTGGAGGGCTGTCAGTGTGAGCATATCGCAGTGTGAGCGGACTTAGCAACAGCTCTGTATTCACTGGGAGCTGGAATATTTCACATATCTATGTGGCAGCCAGGATTTCAGGGAATCCAATGCTCAAACGCTGCAGACCAGGGGGCGCTTAAGCAATCTCTACAAAGTGCTGTTTCCAGCCTCGGCATCAATCTTTATTAACATAAAGAACGCAGACATGGACTCTCCTGATGATGTATTTACCTTCCTTTTATGACTTTGCAGTGATCTATCTATGTTCTTGCCTCTAAAAAAGGAAATGATAATATATTTGATATAACACTTACATAATTTGTAGAAAATTGAAGATGGAGTTTGATAAAAATGTGTGGAAATTTAAAGTTGTCACTAAATTTAAAAAGTCATGAAAGTATTTATTTCTACATATATATGAACAAGGTTTATGCAGTATTGTAACTTTTTAAAACTTTTAAAAAATTAGATGATGATGATAACGATAAAAGTGGTGTATGTGTGTGTGTGTTATGTGTTTGAGGAATTGGCTTTTTCACCTTTACCTGGATTTCAGATATTAATTAACATTGACAGCCTAGAGGAGCAAATATCGCTATCTTCTAAGTTGTTTCTCTAGCCCCAGTATTGAACTTCAGCACAGTTTTGAACATGGGAAGGTATGCTATCTTAGCAACTCAATATAACTCTCTCTGGGTTAATACTTATTCCCCTTATGATGTAGTACAGCTTTGTAACCCAGATTCAGAACGAGAACCTCTGGGAGTTGCTTTTTGCTTTGTTTCTTACCAGCTGCGCAGGCTTGGCTGGGTCACTGGTCTCCAGTTTTCATTTTTGAGAAATAGAAAGAGTAAATACTATTCCTCCTGCCTGATTCAAGGGAAAACTATGTAACACGCCAGAGAATAAAGGGAGGCAATGTTGACGGAGAACTTACACTGAAAAGGCCAGGCCTTAAGTCAAGTTTTTCTGTCTATTGTCTTCTTCCATGTTACATCTAAAGATACAAATTGAGGAGTGGTTTCTGTGCATTCATTCCAGGGGTGCAGCCACTGTAGAGCAGAGAGGTTGCGGGAGCTGTTTAATTCATAAACCTGTTCTCACAGGGAAGAACCCAGACGTGAACCTTAAACCAAGCGACTCCACTAGTAAAAAACGAAATGATGTGTAGATCTCTTTCTGTTGCTCCTGTCATCTGTATTCTACTTTTCTTTCCTGTTCCTTTGCCTTTCTTTCTTCTTCTGTCTTGCTTCTACAGTGGGTAACAAGTACTGTCGTAGTTTGCCGCGATTCACGTGATTCACTCTAGTAATGTTCCATATGGCGGAAGAACAAATCAGAGATTAAAAAAGATAATGGTCACAGTGCAGCCCAGCCCGCAGTCAATATTTGACTGCCTTTGGTAATTCACAGGGTATTACTGAGATAATTCCCTAAATACTGTGACTATATTAGAGTGACTCTGTACGTTCTTTGGGAGCAAGACAGGTACATAAAGAGCTGTAATGTGAACAAGGAGTCATCACATGTAAGAAGAAAGATATGAATACAAGGAACATACAGAGGAGGAAATAAATTAATGCTAGAGGAAAGGTACTGGTGTTCAGAGCAATGTCAACTAAGGCTTGTGCTTGACTCTTTCCCAGGCACCAGAATAACCCAGTATGTTGTCACTCACTGTAAGAAGGGGCTGGGCAGAAGGAAGAGTTAAAGCACAAACAGTCAGACTTGGGGACAGAGTCAAAATAATGTAGCTCCCCCTCCCCCTCCTTCAGATTCCCTCTCAAGAATTTAATCCCTTCGAGCTTCATAGACCTCAAGAATATTTACTGCAAGAGCATACATACCCTTAGATGGCTAGAGGGAGGAGAGAGGAGGTGCAGAGGGGGATCTTCTCAACTTTTCACAGATGTTGATTTCAAGTTCCCACCTGGTAAGGGCCTGGGGGCCTGAGCTTAAAGATGCAGGTCAGAACCTGGAGAGGCAAATAGAACCACCCACAGGATCCAGCAGCAGCGGGATTATAAAACCTCTAAAACTTTTTCCAGTGACTAAATAAACATTTCTTCATCTATTTGCACTTTCTTTCTTTTCTTCCTGTTTACTGAAATTTGGAAACAGCCACAGAAAGCCCTGACTCCATAAAGGTCCCATCTTTAAAAATCATTTTTTTTTTAACCTACAAAGTAAATTATATTATAAGCAGCTTCTGGTTTCTATGTGTTTGATTTAGCAACAGCCAAGGGTGGACAATAAGAAAGATTTTTAAATCATGAGTAATGAAAATAATAAATGACATGCTTTCTAGATTAAATTCTGGCTTTCTTCCAGAACACCCTAGAAATACATTCAAAATGAGCAGAGAACCGCACAGCACTTGAACCTCAGAGCCCAGGCGGAATTCCATGTGAGGCTGCTCTGAAGACCACATTTAAAACAACTACAAGATTCATTTCACTCCATTTTGCAGACCCACACATCTCCAAAGCGTGCGCACACACACACACACACACACACACACACACACACACACACACACGAATGTTATTTCAGAAGGCTAATAAATACTACTCACAAACAAGGCTGGAAAGGGTGGAGAGTGGAATGGGGTTGGGGGTGGGGAGACAAACTCTTCAGTGACGATCTTTTCGGGGGAGAAAAAAACAAATAAGAGAAAATTCAAATCAAGTTACTCCACTAGACGACAAAAGCAGTTTGGAATGTTAGGCGGATGCAAAAGGAATAAAGCAAACGTGGAGGGGGGAAAAGGAGGCCGATAAAGTTTCTGGCTACAATACAAGAGACGTATCATTACCATATGATCTAATGTGGGTGTCAGCTGGCTGTGCTCATTGAGTGAAACCTTCGTTTCTCACTGGGCTATGGAGTAGAAGCTGGAGGTTCCCAACCTAGTGCCAGAGAGCAGCACCCTCCTCCTTTCCACACCTGCAAACTCTTTTGCTGGGGCTGAATATTTAGTGTAATTACATCTCAGCTCTGAGGGCTCCCGTGGCAAATACCCGGATTAAAAGGTATGGCTTTCAATAATTGTCCTGAACTCTGCTATAGGCTCATAAAACTTCCGTCAAGTGGAGGGCAGGAAAAAAAAAAACTACCTAGTGAGAGAAAGAAATGAGAAAGAAGTTGTGCTAAACTTTTAATAATCTTGATGCAACATTAGAAACAAGAGTTGCTTGAAAACAGAAGTACTCGGTAAAATAATTGTTTGAATGCATTGTTTTACTGCTTTCTCTTTTATTCTTGCAAAGATGCTTATTAAAAACCTGTAACAACACCACGACTGTCTATACTGATGTTTTTGCATTTGTACTGATGAAACGCTTCACTCTTTATGATCTGCTAACAGAAAAGCATTCTAAACTAGTCTGCTGCTTGTGCCTAGGTTAGCTATTTAAAGATTTATTCCCGTCCTGGATTCTTGCATACTTCACAATCCTTTAAAACCTCAGCAAGTGAACAGTCTAGCTATAGAGATATAATGTCTGTTTCTGCAACACCAGAAATGAATAGGAATTATTACCAGAGTGGTGGAAAGCAACACTGAAAATATTTATTATGTTTAAGATCTGAGGTAGTACAGCCGTATACTTTCCTGGATATAAATAAATGTTCCTGTCAATATATTCAATGCAAATGAAACTTTCTGAAGAGGTGCATTGACTGTGAGGTGAGGGTGGGGGTTGATTCTCATTTTAATGGTAAGCAGAGTAAAGAGACTAGTTAAGTACGCCCCAGTGATTTCAATGCCTATGGCTTTTTCTCCCCCTGTTGCTGTTTATTTTACCAGGAAAAAAAAAAGAAAAGAAAAACAAAACAAAACAAAATTTGAGTTTTATAGTAGCTCTTATTTATGAACAAATGTTACTTTTATTGCTTTTCTTTTAGTTATTTCTATGGTTACTGAAGTTTTGAATTCAACAAATACTGGGGGATTTAAATTTTGTTCTGTATTTACAGATTCTTTTGATACTTAAATGTTAAGTTTTAGCTTTGAAACAACCACCAAAAGTATAAACGTGTTTATACAAAAGTTAATCTGGATGACATGGCTAATTAAACAGGGGCCAGAAGTATTACTTTTGATGAGAGATTTCTAAACTACAGCAACCATTATTAGTGAGAGTGGCTTTGCAAATATTTGAGAGTAACAGTTTCCATGAGATGCAAAAAGTGTGTTGCCTCTGTTACAGTCTCCTTTGTTTGTATAAGAACAACCTCTTTCTGCTGTTCTATTTGCTATTTATCACAAAAGGAAAAAACAACAACAACAACAAAAAAAAACACTGAAGAAATCGTGAGGACCCTTGGCAAATATTAATTGCTCTAGCATGCTGGAACTTTGAGTATTCTAAAAAAATTATAAAAGAATATCATGGGAAATTTGAATAAAATTTACAGGCATGCTTTTCTTCTCTAGGATAATGGAGTTAACACACACACACATACAAGGAGAGAGAGAGAGAGAGAGAGAGAGAGAGAGAGAGAGAGAGAGAGAGAGAGAGAGAAGAGCAAATAGCTGAGGTGGCATGCAGTCTAACTGTATCCAGCTTTAATCTAAGGGAAGATTGTGCAGAGAATTTGCACTATTTTAACAAGGGTAAACAAACATAAATGATGAGTGGTCCTCTGAGCCAGTGCTCAACATTTCCTTTTTTGGGTTGTTAGAGAAGCCACCAGGCATTTCTGCTCTGGTGAATGGATTATCAAGAGACATCTGCACTAACTCTCCTTCCCCTTTATTAAAGCTGAGATTACTTTGATTCATTTTCTTTTCTCCTAAAATTATTACAAGGCATTAAATATGCAAGGCCAGCAAACTTGTGGTAAACCATAAACATTGCATTTTAATGTGAAACAGTTAGGAGGCTTCTCCTTTACAGCAATCCAAGAAAACTTCTTGCCAAAACAATAACCTCCCTTTAAGAGAGACCCAGGAATTCAGTGGGAATGGGCTGCTAGAGAACACTTGGTATTGAACTTAGGGCAGTTGAGTGAATCACAATCTTTATGAGCTTTTTAATTGAAAATCACGGTCCTGTATGCTATGTGCTGTTTTAGACACACTCCAGTACTAAATGAGAACTAAGAATGAAAGGGGAATTTTTTAAATGACAAACCATTTGTTTCTTTCCTAGTGGATCTGGCTAAAGCTTCTAGGATATGTATTCTGGATCTCTTCAAAGATGCTGTTTTCTTTTCTTATTTGGTAATGATGATGGCAAAGTGTGACTCAAACAACATTTTATTTGTAATTGCAGAGGTGCAGCTATACAAGAGTAAATGTATAATTCTAAGTTGAGATCATGAGTCTGAAAGTAACACCCGCAATCTGCTTGGGGATTGCTTATAGAGCTGCTCAGGGATATTAAGCCATACCATCTCAAAAATAGACTGCTTGATCTCCATCTAAGCAAATGTACTTTGTTATTTAGACTGGTCATTTGGAGTTATTTAATTTATATCCAAATAACTGGACACTTGGTGTAAATACACACTTGGTGTTTTAAAGCATCAGACCTATTCGGTTTCTTGGAACAAACAGAATACACTGTATTGTTAATAAACTGATGTTCAGCTGAGTCATTCGTGTTCAAAATATTGTGCAAGGCATGGGTACAGAACAAGGAATAATAAGACACGCCCTGAGGGAGAACATCCGCTAACGTGGGGACAGAATGAACACACAAAACACATTATAATATGTGATAAGTTCATTAAAAGAGGTCAGAGCAGTGTGCTTGGGATCACAGAAGAGGCAAAGAGCAGCACCCTGCTTGGAAGAGTCGGGACATACAGGAGGGAACCCCAGAATCTCACATAATCTCTAAAGTTCCTCGGAAGATAGGTAAGCAAATTGGCAAGGGGGTCTGAGTGTCAGGGTTGAAGTCTATTCTTGAGAGAGAGAGGGAAGATGCAGAGAAATGTAGCTTTCAGTATCAACAGATCAGAGAACACAATTGTCGTAGACAAGTCATGAGATGTCAACCAATGGTGACAGTAGAACTGAGTGAGGTTAAACTGAAGTTTTAGACAATGACTTGGGCAACACTGTGGAAGATGGGTCTGGAATAAAAGAAATGTTCAGGACAGAAATGAGTAGGAGTCTCTTAACAACAACTTAAGGAGACGGAGAGGGACCCTAGACCAAGGAAAACTCAAGAGGATCTGGAGATGAACATGGCTTGATGAGGTGTCTCTGGTAGGAGTTGGAGACGTCTCACTGTGTAGGCAGAGACTTATTTGATTGTGGTATGGCACTGTTGAATGAGCATGGAAAATGCCAAGATGATTTCTTAGTCAAAAGCAACTGGCCAGTGATGTGCCACCTCATCATAATTCAGGCCCCAAGACGAGACAAGCCGTTTTTAGTCCTGTTTGGATTGCTACTAGTAAGCAAATGGTTTACATGTGCTTGTAATCACCTTTACCACCTTTCAAAGACTTTTTGAATGCCTGACTTCTGCATAACCAAGTGTTATTTTCTATATTTTTCTCTGTATTCACTCTGCTATGAGCTATTATGTAAGAAATACTACATGAATTAAGTGGCAACCTCACTCCTGAATCTTTTGCTTTGTTCCAGGCTGTTCCAGGTTCCCAGGCTGTTGCAAATACATGAGATAATCATGAAGGCGACTCTCATCTTACTCCTTCTGGCACAAGCCTCTTGGGCTGGACCGTTTGAACAGCGAGGCTTATTCGACTTCATGCTGGAAGATGAGGCTTCCGGCGCAGCAGAAACTGAAGATTCTGGTCTTCCTCCTGATCTACCACACCTGGAGCCCCTGGGACCTGTGTGTCCCTTCCGCTGCCAGTGTCATCTTCGAGTGGTCCAGTGTTCCGATCTGGGTAAGTGAGTCAGGCCAACCTCGTGCATCTTCTTTCTTCATGGAACTGGATTCTCAGAGTGTTTGGTAGTTTCAGGATTTATCTCTGAGATTCCAGAAGCAAGAGACAGCGCCACCTAATGAGGAGTAAGGGAAGCAGTCAAGGACAGAGAGAAGGAACACTGAGGCTAGGATTCCTTTTGCTTTTTCTCCACACCGCACCCCCTCCCCATCCCCAGGCCCTTCTTAAGTCAGTTCCATCAACCTTGCAGTTTGCAATGAATCACTTAAAAATGAAGTCTTTCTGACTTTAACAGACCTTCTTTTGCAAAGTAAAACGCCTACCAATGCCTCATCTTGTAGTCTGTTTCCAGGGTTTCTTTGTTGTTGTTTTTGTTTTTTCAATTCATGATTTGTTTTCTTCAGATGTCAGATATTAGGAAAGTCCCTTTACTCTTTACAGGGTCCAGGCACCAGAGATTAAACATTACTCACTTGCCAAATATGCAGATATCAGAAGCAAAACGAGTTGGATTGTGCAACAGAAATTTATTTTCCAGATACATAAATACTCCCTTTATCCTCTGGTCTTGGTTTTCTTCTTACCTTTGGCAGTTTGTAACCCAGATGATTATGGTCTTTAGAAAATTTCAAAAGAAATAACTACAACTACAGTACAATGTAAATATCTGATATAATCTTGGCGCATAAAACTCTAGCCTAATACATTAAAGACGCCTACTTATCCCTTTAAAAGTAAAAAAAAAAAAAAAAAAAGAAAGAAAAAATGGACTGGAATTCCAAGAGCCACATGCTTAGAAGATAAATCTTCAGAAAGTTTGAAGGCTCAGCAGTTGGGCCAAAGGTCAATGGACTTGGTTCCCATGGCAGCTGCTTTTCCTTTCTTCTTCTTTGCTTGTATATTTTCTTAGAGTAAAGGGAAGAAATGATCACAGGACTACCCTTTTGCTATATGTCTTTCCTCACAGAAGGAATATCACAACAGAACAAGGTGATTCTTTGAAAAGCTCCATATGTATTCCGTCAATTTGCTAGCCATATTTTGCAGAGAAATGGCCTCTAATGTTAAGCAAAGGAATGCACAAACAAAGGAGCTGAGAAAAGCATAAAATGATTCAACATCAGTAATTGAGAAACATTTATCTCAGCCTTCTTCAGTGCTCACATAAACTGTACCTCACTTTAAAACTCCAGTGAGAGTGTATACGAATGCCTCCCGAAGTCTACAGATAGTTCATTGATCCTTTACACCCTATGATGGATCAGTGGTATTTTTGGGGTGGGAATGTGAATTATCAGTTTCCATAGCTAAAGTTTTCCATAGGATTATCCTTGGAGGAGTTTTTAATGAGGCAGAGGAGGTACAATATCCAATATTTAGTCAATATAATCTATATACTATAGAGTATGAGCAGGCATTTTCAATTTAAATGCTTGACTCCATATTTTCCACTAAGGGTTATTTGTGCTGATGTTAAACAACATTGATTCTTAAACTGTCCTTTCAGAGACAAGAAATTAAAATTGAGAGACTAAAGCCCTATCATTTGTCTTTGAGGTGTTGTAAACGCTTCTGGAAGATGCATGGAATGTTTGGCCCTAGCTATCATTACAGGGTACCATCACTATGTTCTTATCTAGGGCACAGAGGCCTGAGAAAGTAAACATGAAGCGGCCATAGATAGTGGCCAAATTCTTTTGCAGATTCTGTCGCAATTTAGTTTTTGAGCTGAACCAGAAGCTCGTGTGAGAACCACAGCTTCTCTTCTCTCTTTATCAGATAAAGAACATTTTATTGAAAAATCAAGCAGCCAATATAGTCTTGACTAATTAAGAAGCCCAGTTGTTATTTTAAAACAGGAAACAGAAAGTACAACGCGTTCCTTTTATATTTACTCTTAATAAATATATGATTTTGTAAAAATGTGGATACACTATTGGTACCATGTAATGTTTTGGTACACATATACATTGAGTGAATTGTAAGTCTGTTCAACATGCCGGTCTTCTCAAACATTTATTGCTATGTCATGAAAAAGACTTTTCCACATCCTTTCCTCTAGCATTCTGAAATCGTAGCAATCTAGAGTTGCCTGAATGTGCAACCTCCTGCAAAACATCCTTCTCTAACTGAACTTAGTAACCATGGATCATCAGACTTTCCTCAGTAACCCGTTCTGCCCAGCTCCTGGTCATCACCAGTCTACCCTCAACTTCTGTAAGATCAGCTTGCTTATATTCCACACATGAGTGAGATCACTCAGTACCTGTCTTTCTATCCCTTGCTTGTTTCACTGAACATAACTCTCTCCAATTTCATTCATGTTGCAAAAGACAGGATTTCACAAATTTTAATGAGCAGTTGTCAGTCCCCTGTATATGTGCGTCACAATGTTTCTAACTATCACTTAATGCATACTAGACATAGCATTGTAACAAATTTCAAAGCTTTGACCTAGAAAATGGAACAACGGAAGTGAGAGACAGCCTTCATAATGGGAAAACATAACTGCTAGCTATACCATTGTAATGTTTCTTTTTCCAGAACATAAAAGGAACTCCAAAAATCTACTACCAAGAAAGTAAACAAAACCGAGACTAAATATATTGGTACTGAGGCTGTGCCTAGAAAGCCAGTCTCAGATACTCCAAACAGCTCCAGCTCAGACACCATAGCAGCAGCACAGACCGCTATTCATAAGACTGAGTCTTGGGGAATCCAGTCCAGACTAGACTTCTATGACCTTTAGTCCTGTTAATATTTGGTTACAAATGAGTGAGAGGCCCTCATTGAGAGCAAACTTTCTGTTTCCTTGCCAGATTTCTTGTTTGAGATCATAAACCAACTAAAAATGTTTAAAAGCTTCCATGTTTGAGGGGCATTCATCAGTGGTAACAGCTACATTTTAAAAATGAGCAATAGATCTAAATACACATTTCTCAGAAGTGACCCAGTAATACATGAAAAAAAAAATTCTAAAGATCACTCCTTACCAGGGAAATGCTAATTGAAACTCTATCACCCGATCGCAGTAAGAGTGACTTACTTTATCAAGAATACTAAGACCATCCAAGGTTTAGGAGGGTGTCAAAAAGGGGAGCCCTTGAACTCTGTGGGAAAGAATTAAAACGGAGTATAGCCCTTATGGAAGGCAGTATAGAGGGTCCTCAAAGAAATAAAAGTAGCACAGTACTTTCTAGCTGTCCTAATCCTGGCCATGAACTAGAGAGGCACCTTTATACTCGTGTTCACTGTAGCCCCATACAGGGCCACGAAACACACACAGAGCAGCTAACAAAAAGTATGGAGGTGAAATTAGTTCATTATTTCCCAAACTTTGAAAGCTGTCTAATTTTGATCTTAAGCAGATGCTCTGTTTTGTGTACATGGTCTCTTGGAGGAGGATAATTTCTCTTGCTTATGGACTCTGGTTCAGCTATTCATGTTGGCATCAGGGGTCACCAAGGGATATGATTTGGTAATAACTTTCATCTCACTGATAATATATGAGTCCTGAAAAGTCACATAAACACAATCATTGTCTTGTGTCTAGGTTTTTTTTAATTAAGCACATAATAAATGGTGTTTGAAAGGTAATTCAATACCTTTTAAATCATTTAGAAATGGAAAGAGTTTTGTATATATAGATATACAGCCTTGAACTCAAACCTAGTTTGCCTCCTCCTGTATGTAATGATATCTTTCAGAAGCTTGTTTTCTCATTTAATGAATAGATATGCATTTTATTTTGCTAGACAAGAACCAAAAAATATATATAAACATTCTTACAATAGTAACTTTTATATTCAGGATACAATCTCATAGATAAACAGAAATTGATTGTCTTATATGTACATGGCTCATGAAGTTGTACGAAGTCAGGTGTGGTGGCAAAAGCCTATATTCCCAGCTACTCAGGAGACTGATAAGGGAGGGTTTGCAATTTTTTTTTTGAGACAGAATTTTATTGTGTAGCTTTGGAGCCTGTCCTGGAACTCACTCTGTAGATCAGGCTGGCCTGGAACTCACAGAGATCCACCTGCCTCTGCGTCCTGAGTGCTGGGATTAAAGGCATGTACCACCACTACCACCCGGCCAGAGGATTTGCAATTTCAAGGCCTGTTTAGTGTTGGGCTACAGAGAAAGATGGGGTATGGGGACATCAATGGTCATCCTAGGCAAATAGAGAGAAATCAAAATAAATGGTAAAGATATTATATTCCCATGACCTACCACCTGCTCTCATAAATATTGAGGATTAGTTTTAGTTCAAAATGACAGTGTTCAGCCATCAAATTGAACCTTAGCTCTAAGGTGTTTCCATTTCAGTGTTTCAAATGAGAACAGAGAGGCTCAAGTGTGCTAAGTTGGGGTTCAGTCATCTCTAATTCATGGCTGGATTAATTTTGATCCAAATCATTCTGAAGCCAAAAGTGGTTTTAAAATATCTGGTATTTTACTGACTTACAAAAGACTGGAGTCTGTCTTTGTTCCTATTCAATAGGATGAAGTTGATTAGGGTCAGATTTGGGGCATCTTATCATTTGTTGGGAAGCACGTGCTAACTGAATTGAAGGCTTCCTACCCACACGTGGACCTATGTAGATGAACTCTGAAGGTCCTGCACTTCATGGAACAATGATGAACACAACACTGGTCTTTACTGACAAGAAGAACCAACTCAGGACTAAGATGTTATATGAAAAACCTATGTTTGACATACCTGCAAAATAGATTGTAATCTCCAGGATAACATTTATTAATAATCATAATGTAAAGAAGATAAAAACAGAGAGACTAATTCTCTAATCACCAGCAAAACAATCAATCTAAAGTCTTTCTTATTGATACTAATAACAGATAATAAAAATTGAGACTGGCTCTATATGCCGATGGACAATCCATTTGTAGTACAGTTTACTGATTTCTCACAAAAGTTCTGTGAAAGGTAGCATCCAAGTACACTTTTCAGGACACTGACAGATTATGCAACTTGGTTT